AAACGGAATGAACAGGGATTTCAAATTTGATGTATTCTCCTGGTTAATCACAATATTTGAAAGAAGGTCCCTTATAATCGCATTCTCCATAAAGAATAATACAATCACCCTTAGCTGGCAAATTAGACTCATATTATTGGGAAATAAGAATTTATTATTATGCTTGGGCATTGATGTAGCTATCAAGTGTGGCTGTTAGGAGTGTTTCTGGAGCAGTGGCTGTTTCTAATTATTAAGTGGGATCTGTTAATTTCTCTAAGAATATATTAGTCATGGGGGCAAAGGATCTGTTTATTAAAGACTCTTCTAGGAACGAAGATTGAGTGGATGCAAGGACAATGAATGCCAATAGAAATTGAATTTTCATTACTTATAAAAACGAATATTATTTGATTTATGATATCTATAGTAATTAAGTTTGTATATTGTATTGACAAATTTATTATAAATTAAAATCAAATGGAAAATTATCATGTGTTACATTTAATTGGTGAAGGCTCTTTTGGGAAGGTATATAAGGGAAGATGGAAGAAAAGTAACTAGATGGCTGCTTTGAAGTTCATAAGTAAGAGAGGAAAAACTGAAAAAGATTTAGCAAATTTGAGATAAGAAATTGAAATATTGAGGAGATTGAAGCATGAAAATATAATATTATTATTAGATGCATTTGAAACGCAAGGGGAATTTTGTTTAGTAACTGAAGTAATTTTAATTGTTTCTATTTATTAGTTTGCATAAGGCGAATTATATGAAATTTTGGAGGATGATCATAATCTTCCTGAAAGTGAAGTCAGGAAAATTGCGTAATAATTAGTTAGAGCACTTCATTATCTTCATTCTAACAGAATTATTCATAGAGACATGAAACCTTAAAATATTTTATTATCTGCTAATGGAGTTGTTAAATTATGCGATTTTGGATTTGCAAGAGCAATGTCAACAAATACACAAGTTTTGCATTCCATTAAAGGTACTCCGCTTTACATGGCGCCAGAGTTAGTTCAAGAACAGCCCTATAATCACACAGTCGATCTGTGGTCATTGGGGGTGATTTTGTATGAATTATTTGTTGGCTAACCTCCATTCTACACTAATCAAATTTATTCCTTAATTCAACTTATTATTAAGGATCCTGTCAAGTATCCTGACAACATGAGTCCAGAATTCAAAAGTTTCTTAAAAGGACTCTTAAATAAACCTCCTTCTGATAAATTAAGATGGG